TAGGGAAATTAGGTAAACTGACTGAATATCTATAAGCACAGCTCTTTTTTGTACTTTGGATGTCTTTTTTTAATTTCTTCAATTTTCAATTATAAGTCAATTTTCTACTGCCCTTATGTAAAAAAATATTCTCAGAAAACTCAGTGCTCAATCATCACAGAGACAATCAACACTCCACATCAGCCTTTATGACTGTTATAGAACCAAGTCCTAAAAGACGTAAAAAACAAACAAACAAACAAAAAAACATAGCCTTATTCAAGAAATCAGTCCAGAGGCCTGGGTAACAGAGACATCAGGAAGGGCAAAAGATGTATCCCTGTTAAAATCAGACTTAAGAATATTAATACCTTCCAACATTAAAAAAAAAAAGAAAAAAAATACTGGAAAATTTTGAGTAGTTCAAGACCCTACTGAAATAAATGAAGCTGTTCCTTCCATTTTTACCTACCTGATGGAAACAATCCTTACAATATTTTGGGAGGAGTGCCCCAGATTCTTATTAGTCTTAAAGTTTAGATCTCACTGATGCTTTCTTCTGCTTCCAGTAAAGAAAGATTCTTACTATATATATATATATATATATATGGAGGCAAAGCATTAATGGAACAAAGAAACTTTTACAAAATGAGAAAAAATAATACATATTCTCAATTACTATTTGTGTTATAATAGAGGCAGAAAAGGGCCTCAACAATTTATCATGGGTAATGATTCTCAAGAGCTTTAATGACAGGGCATAACTTTTTGACCCAGCTTCAGGTGGACCTGAACCTCAAAGTGGAAAATGTTTTTCGATATATAGATGATCTTATTTACTCTTCTACCAATGAGTTAACAACAAAGTGTCTTGTAGACACTGTTTGGTCCAGAATACAAAGCTTTCTGATGTATGACTCAGTTCACAGAAACTGAAGTTTAGTTTCTTGGCCCCTTATCTTATCTTAGAAGGACAAATAAAATTGTTGCCTAGATGCCATTTTACAAATACCTGATTTATAGACATACCACCAGCTATGGACATTCCTGGGATTTGTAGAATCCTGTTGGATATGCATTTCTGGTTATGGACATGTAGTCCAAAGCTAATATGAGGCCTTGTGATGTGAATTCCAGAGAGAAAAAATTCTGTCTCTCTGTTTCTTTCGTTTTCACTCACTCTCTTTCTCTCTATTTCAATCTCTTCTTTCCTTCCTTCCTTCCTTCCATCCTTCCTTCCTTCCTTCCTTCCTTCCTTCTTTCCTTCCTTCCTCGCTTCCTTTTTCTCTTCCTTTCTTACCTTTCTCTGTCTCTCACATGTTTTCTGCTTTTCTCCTTTCAGCCCCCTCCCTTGCTCCCTCATTCCTTCCATCCCTCTCTTCCTTTTCACTTTCTTGTATTCATGTATTACTGAACACATTTTATATTTCTCATTATTCAATTAAGACTTTCTAGATTTTTTAATCATGGTAAATTTTACATATCCAGAAAGATTTTCATCTCCCCTAGGTTTTCTTACTGGAGGTATATAATGGCTCATAGTTGTCTGATGATGTATGTATTTTTTCTATGTCCATTGTAATGTAGTCTATTTTCTTGTTGATTGTATCCACCTCATTTCCTTTTCAGTGTTTCTTGATAAATATAACTAATGGTGTCTGAGTTTTGTTTAATAATTTTTTTTAAACCTCCTCAAAGAAGTTTTTATTTAGATTTTGGCTTCATTTATGTTCTCTAGAGATCATTAATTCTTTATTTTATTTAATCTGCTGAAAGCTTTATTATTTCTTTCACCTGGCATTTGGTGTTGCTTTTCTAGTTTTCTGAGTTGTGTCATGAATTGTTTATTGGCCACTTTTCTGTTATGTTCTTTGAGCAATAAATCCTTTGACCTTAAGTATTGTGATTGCTTTTTCTGTTTTGCCTATATTTTAGAAATATTTTTGTTCACTATTCTTGGTTTCTATGAACCTTTATTTAAATCTTAACTTCTTCAGTGGTTGCAAAATCAGTCAGGATTAGATTGTTTAGTTTTCATATGCTTGTGTAGTTTGGGAACTCTCTCTGTACGTGATTTCTAATTAGAATCCACCAGATATGAAAAAAGAGGCTGGGTGGGGTTTATATACAGTCAAACATGAAAAGTCTTGCCGTTTGCCATCTCATGTGGTTGTTCCTCAAAAATGTTCCATGTTAGCAAAGAAAAATTGATATGGGTCTTCTGAGCATAAATGCATTGGAGATCAAGCACCTTAGATAAATGTATACACAAAACCTATTCATTATTGTGTCTTTTACCTCAATTTATTGATAAGCCTCTTCCTCCCATCTGCCACTGTCCATCATTTTACTGTAGTCTCTGCTATCTACACTTTCTGTATCTCATATCTTCTGATCTGTAGCTTCCTGGTATAAGTTGTAGACATTCAGTATTAATTGAGTGGCAACATTCAGATTCCATCTTTTATATTCTAGCTTGCTTTGCTTAACATGAAAACATCTATATGCATCCACTTTGTGTCAAATGCCCAAACCTCATTACTTCTTATGACTGAATAGCATTCCATAGTTAACATGTCAAGCCAGTCATTCATTGTCAGGAACTTAGGTTGATTTCATATCTTAGAAACTGTAAGCAATGCTGAGGTATATATGAATGTTTAAGTGTCTTTCTGCTAAGTGATCGTGCTATTCTTGGGGTAAATAGCCAGCAGTGACATTACTTGATTGTATGGAGATTCTGATGTTGTTTTTGTTTTAATTTTTAAAGAACTACTGTAATTTTTCAAACTGGGATTATACCAATTTAAATTTTAAACAACAGAATGGTGTGATACTACCATATCTACCAAAAACTAAGCAGGACTTCTCACACTTAATTTTGATAATAGCCATTCCAAATGTGGTTAAAAGTTATCTGGTTATTTATGATAAGAGATCCTAAAATCCTTAAAAGTTTATATTTGGACAGTTGTATGTCATTCTGGAAAAGACACCTCTTCATCTCATTTAACCACTTTTAAACTGGATATTGTGTGTGTGTGAGTGTGTGAATGTGTGTGTGTGTGTGTGTGTGTGTGTGTGTGTGTAGATAAGTTACATTAGTTCCCCATATGTTTTCCACAGTTTCTTTTTAAAAATAGCATGTGTCATGTGGGCTGACAAAAAATAGATATGGGTCTTTCACGCCCAAATGCATTGGAAGTCAAGGCCCTCTACCATTGTGTAGCTGTTCTCTACACTCTGATATTACTTATTTTTTTTGGTTGTGCAGAAGATTTTTAGTCTTATGTCATCCCATTATTTTACTATTTTTATTTTTGGAGAGGTTTTTGCTGTAGGGCATGTGTGCTCGCCAGAAAGTCAACGAGAAACATAGAGACAGAGAGTGAGAAATCACCCCCTCCCCCCCCCCCCACCCAGGGCGATGGCCATGCTGCAATCCCTTCTCCTCCCTTCTCTTCTCGGGATCTTGGGCACACACGCACACGCGGCTGGCATGAGTTTAAGCCACTGGGTCCAGGACTCAAACCGTGGTCAACTACGTTTGAGTCCAGCGACAAAGCCATTACATTAACTACTGATCCCTATTTTACTATTTTTATAGTTGTCTATGCTTTAGAAATCTTGTTTCAAAAAACACTGCATATGCCAGTGTCTCAAAGGTTTTCTTTATGGTTTCTATCAGTGGTTTTAAAGTTTTAATGTTTTGTCTTAGCTCTTTAATCTATTTTTGAGTCAATTTCTGTTAATAGTAATAGGTGTCTAAACTCATTTTTCTGCAGATGAATATTCAGGTTTTCAGCACCATTTGCTGGACAGACATTCTTTTCCTCCGTGAATCATCCTGAATCAATTGTCCAAGGTTATTTGGGTGGATATATTGAGGTTTATTTTTTGCTCTTACATTCTGTTGCATTGATCTATGTGCCTGTTTCCTGACAGTACTGTGTTGTATTGGTTGTGACAGATTTGTAATACATTTTCATATCAGCTAGTGAGATACTCCTTACTTTATTCCTTTGCTCCTCTTACTAAGAAATAGTGTCATAAAACACTACATTACACCATTCTACAATTTGAGAACATCAGTAGTAAGAATTAGAGAACAATCAATGCACTGATCTTATTTTATAGTTTATTATTATTAATAATGTTTTATTATTATTAATGCTTTATACATTGATCATTATACATCAGTTGGCTTGCAAAGTGAATTTACTGAGCATGAAATACACCTCTAACCAATTCAGTTCAACTATCATAAACTGGTAATAACTTTTTTGTTTGTTTGTTTGCATATAGTTGTCCATAGTATCCTCTAATACTGTTTTGTTTTTCTTCTATCTCTGTTGTTAAATTGCCTACTTCATTGTGATTTGGCTTTACCTAGTTCCTTTCTCTCTTCCTCTTAATATATTATTTCTTTGGCATGTCAATTTTGTTTATCTTATCAATGAACCAGCTTTTACATTCATTTATATTTTATATACTATTTTAATGTTATATTTCACTTTTTTTAGAGGTTTTTCTATAGGGCACATTCAATTGCCAAAAAGATAGAAAGAGACAGAAAGATAGAAAGGGAGAAATCACCCCCAGGGGGGATAGCCACACTGCAATCTCGTCTCCTCCATTCTTCTCAGGATCTTGGGCACTTATCCACACATGCCTGGTGTGAGTTTAAGTCACCTGGTCAAAGTCTCAAACCATAGTCGACTACATGCGAGTTCAGCGACATAGCCATTATGCTAACTACTGGTCCCTATTTCACTTGCTTTTGGCTGAGGTCATATTATTTCTTTTCTCCTGCAGTTGTTTGAATTCTTTATTCCTTATTTTCCTATTGGAAACATTATGTTAGGTTGTCAATTTCCTTTCTTTTTTCTTTTTTTTTTTAATCTTCCAGTTATGTGTACTAATGACTATGAACTTTCCTCTTTTGGCTGCTTTTGTGCCAAAATTGGTGCCAAGATTTTGGAAACTGTTGAACTCATTTTCATTAGCTTCCAGGACTGTTTTGATTGCAGTCTTCATTTCATCAGTAGTTGTGAAGTCATTTAAGGGTAGGTAATTTTGTTTCTATGTATTAGTGAATGTTTGAGAAATTCTTGAAATTAAAGTTAAATTTAATTCCATCATTGTCAGAGAGGATATTGGTTAGAGTCTCTATTCCTTCACATATGTGGAGGCTTGCTTTGTGCCCTATCATGTGGTGAATCTTTCAAAAGGTTTAATTTGGTGAGAGAAAAAGTATTATCTCATGATTCTGGGTGGAATGTTCTATAGATGTCTGTCAAGTCTACGTGCTTTATCACATCATTTAGGTCTTTAATTCTGCTTAATATTGTTTAGATATCTGTCCAAAGGAGAACGTTGGGTGTTGAGGTCCCCAGAAAATAAATCTTTTCGTTTGTTTGTTTGTTTGTTTCAATATAATAGTTGAGAACAGCAATTGGTGTAATGGCTGTGTTGCTGGACTCCCATGTGGTTGACTGTGGTTCGAGTCCTGGACACAGTGGCTGAAACTTATGCCAGGCCCATGTGCATTTTAGTATCTTGTCTTTATCTGTGATTACAACCAGTCTGACTGAGAATCTTCCAGTGTTAATTGTACTTGGGTTCCTTTGCATCAATTGGGTCTGGACGTTTGAGTGCTTTTTTGAACTTGGGAAATTTTCTTTGAGGCATTCATGGAATAGATTTCCATGCCCTTATTACTTTCTTCACCTTTGGTGATGCCAATTATTCAGATGTCTGAATATTTACTGCAATCTAGTATTTCATGTGAACTTTATTGTTGTTATTTTCCCTATCTTTTTGGTACTTTTTTCTAAGTCAGAAATGTTCCTTTCTATGTCTAGAATGTGATCTTCAGCATGCTCTATTTGGCTTTTGATACTATTGAGAGATTTTTTTGCTTTCCACTTTTACAAACTTCTTCTCTAATAGTTTCAATTGATTCTTTCTTATGATGTCCATTTCTACTTTTATATTATGGAAGGGCTTCCTCATTTCTTAGAGTTTTATGTGTGTTTTGTATTCTCATTCATAGAGTTCAGTAGCTATAAATGTTTTGACATCTTTCTTAACTTCTCTGCTTTTGAAAGAGATAGAGAAGACTTACTGTTATTTTGATAGAGAACTACTTCCCATTATTATTTTGAACTTGAGGCTTTTCTGCAACTTCTAACCATTTGCTGGTGTATTTGGTTTTGGATAGGGCTTAGAAAACTGTTCCTACCACTGAGAAATAGATTTCTTCCCATTTGGCTTTGATTGCTGAATACAAGACTCTCTTCTGCTGTCTTTAGCAAAGTTTTCACCATGAGTGGAGACTTCTCTTACCTACTTTCTCTCTTCCTTCCTTCCTTCCTTCCTTCCTTCCTTCCTTCCTTTCTCTCTCTCTCTCTTTCTCTCTCTCTCTCTCTCTCTCTCTCTCTCTTTCTTTCTTTCTTTTGAAAGGTTATTGCTATAGGGTGCATGCTTCACCAGAAAGAGAGACAGAGTGATAGAAAGCACTTATCCCCCTCCCCATGAAGGATGAACATGCTGCAATCCCTTCATCTCCATTGTTCTTCTGGATCTGGGGCATGCACACACATGCACCCCGTGTGAGTTTCAGCTGCTGGGTCTGGTACTCAAGCTATGGTCAATATAGGAGTCCAGCAAAATAGCCTTTATGACAAGTACTGGTCAAAAAAAGAGTCTTTTATTTACATACCTGAGTCTTTAATTCACATACCTGTTTCTCCTTTTTTTGCATGTGGTTTAGTATAGAGCGGATATCCCTTTTAGCCTCATTTTGCTAGGATGTTATAATCTGTGATTCTACATCTGTTGATTTCCTCTTGCTGGCAGGGAGGAGGGAGAGCTCTCGGGTTAGGAATTAGGGCTGGATCTGGGGCTGAGGCAAGTGAATGGTTTACCTCTCTTTCTTTTACTGGTTTGCAGGCTGCAGATTAACTTGTGTTCTGCTTAAGAGATGAGAGTTGCCCTTGCTAGTGGAATGGCTATGAGACTCTGCGGTTGGCACTTGGGTCTGGACCTGGAGCTGGGGTCAATGGATGTTCCCACCACAGTTTTTCTAGCTGGGTTGCAGACTGCAGAGGCATGTGGCTGAGCTTGTGAGACTAGAGCTGCCCTATCAAGAATGTGAAGAATTGTATTACCTAAATATGAAGGTATATATAGTGTGAACATTGAGAATGAGGTATCCCTAATATAGGTCCTTTTGTATTTATGAATGATAAGAAGGAAATTAACAACCATCTTTTGTTATTTCATCAGAAACTAAAGAGAAGAAAAAATCTGATCTGCCTCACCTAGGAGGTGGGTTTGAGAAAAGAGTCTCTGCATATGATCTGGTTGTACCTCCTGTTAAATTGCAAATGATGTAACTGATATTTTTTCTCTATTATCTTAGAGTTACCCACTGATTTCTAGATCATTGCTTATCACTTTCCTCAATCGAAAACTTGAGACCCTGAAATCATGCAAGCAAAATCGGACTGAAGTTCTCTTCTTTTGCAGTTACTTCCAGTTGACAAATGGGGCAAAAGAATGGAACCCATTCTTTCTCTCTGTCAGGGCAGTCCCAACATTACAATGTGATTTCAGAAGATTCTTCACAATAAATATGGAAAGTTTTAATGACTACTTCAAGTGATGAGTGGTTAATATCTCTGGGTAGCGGTTGATATTCTTGTAGCAGAAATATATATTGAATCCAGGAGATGGTGAGTTTAGTTAGAATCTGAGAAAATGGGGTGGGGGGAGACTTATATCCAAGGTTATCATTATACCGATAACTGCTAATGGTAATATGGGCCTTAGAATTTAGTTTTGAGTGTCCCATGTGGACATGAATGCACACAGTATGTTCCTCATTCTCCGGTAGTGATAAGTCAAAGACTTCAGATTTGTAAAACAACACAAGCCAAGTAATCCAATTGTTCCATTATTCTTGTGGGGATATCTGCCGTGATTTGGAAGACTTCAAGAGATTCAGCAGACTAACACACACTTAGCTTGATCTGTAAAACAATGACCCCAATAGGACTATCTTCCACTGTGGCAAATATTCAAAGAAGTGTATATAGTTCTTTCCAGATACGGTGAAGCTGAGTTTTAGAATTACTGTCTCCTCAGTTTTTCACCAGTATTTTGTCTTTTGGTTGTACATGTCAACTCTCATAGATACAGTTGTTCGTAGTACCCGGTATCCATAAGATGGGAGAGTTTATTGTACATGAGACAGTGTAATTATGTATTGTTGGATGGCATTGGTCTCTGCATCTATTACTATGTGTGTTTGTGAAAGAAAGGCCTTCCACATAACATGTGAAAAGGCCTCAGGGACATGTTAGATCATGGGGATACTCTCATTCTGAGGAGAGCAATTAGAAGAAGTGAGAGTTATTTTCCTGATGTTTCCTGATATAAATGTCCGAAGATCTATTTTAAAATTTGATTAGCCCTTTCAAATTCTCCTAAAGCTTGAGACCTCCTAGGATAATGTAATAAACATTTGACTCCTAGTTCTTGGGCATTTATCTGAGTAATTTGTGATATAAAGGAAGGCCCATTGTCACTTTGGAGTCATCCAGGGAGACCAAATTGAGGAGTTACATTCAGCAACTGTGTCTATGAAGACTAACAGATATTTTAATTCCCATGGATGGAGGTTTTGCATAAAATCTGCCAGTCCTCTTCTGGGTAGAACACTCATTGTGGAATTGAAGAGGCTGGGGGAGGAGAGATGTCCTTTTTTGGATTATGTACTGAGCACAGCACACGTACTTCACTAATATTTCTCGTAACGGAAAAACTTTGTCCTACAAGTTCAGAATCACACAGGTTAAAAAGTCCCTTTCAAAATAACAAGAGTCATAAAGACCCTTTAAAGCACCCATTGCTTTACCAAGGGGAGATGAAGCTTTATTTATTAGCCAACTCCCTGGGTCTTTGGCATAGCAACGGTGTACTGCCCACTCTATTTTAACTGGAGTGGGTAAAGATTATGGTAGGCCAGAAATAATTGCTCCAAGAATGGGAAGATGAGATGGAGAGGAAGAATTAGAAGCCTGTCCTGCCAAGTGATTTACTTGACTAACTTCAGCTGTCCTTTTTTGATGTCCATGAGAAAGTACTATAACTATTTTATGCAAAGAAATAGATTCTAAAAGTTATAAGATGTGTGGCCCACACATCTTAGAAAAGATTTTGACTTTTAATCATCCCCATTTCCTCCAAATTGATGCATGAGCATATGTAACCAAGAAGGCATTTTTGGAAACTGTATGTGTCAGGGATTCCTTTTCTTTAGGAGGGTCAAAACCTTGGTGAGAGCAGTAACTTAGCCAACTGGGAGGAAGTCCCATAAGGCAAAGGTTTAAACTGCATCATATCTGTACAAAAACTACATCAAACCCAGCCTGTGTAGTAATCCCAGACATCGAACAACTTCCATACATAAATAAAGCCAGTTTTGAGTAGGAGAGGGACTGGTCTCACAGATCTTGCCTGCTTGCAAAAGTATCGTCAATCACTTGAAGACAGTCACGACTGGGTATTTCCCTTGTTTGAAGGTTAGATATAGGACTGTACAGAATTTAAGCCTTATCTCAGCATGTTCCAAATGATTAGCTGATTTTTATATATGAGATGACCAGAAAGCCAGATAAGTTCTTTGGTTTCTAAAATTTAGGAGGCCTGTTGAGGTTGCCCTGGAGCCCACATAACAGAGTCTTTAGTGATCAAGACTACAGCTACTGCTCCTCTAAGGCAACCTGGCAACACCCTAGTCAACTGGTCTAGTTTCTTAAATAGTAATGGGACTGTAATAATGGTGCCTAAGTGTTGAGGTACAACTCCCAATGTAATTCCTGGTTTCTCCATTATAGAGTTGAAACAGATGCTCAAGATGAGGGAGTCCTACTGCTGGTAACCATATGAAGTCTTAGTTTAAAGCTTTAAATACATCCTCTGTTAAGACTTCCAGAGAATTTGTTCTCTCTGGCGTTCACCTTGCAAGGCCTCATATTAGGGTTGGACTATGTGTACATAACCAGAAATGTGTATCCAACAGGATCCTGCAAATCCCAGGAATGTTAGCTGGCAGTATGTCTACAAGTCAGGTATTTGTAAAATGGCTTGGACTCATCCAGGGGACAATTTTATTTGACCTTCTGAGATAAGGAGTCCAAGATACTAAACAGGTTTCTGTGAACTAAGTCATACCCCAGAAAGCTTTTTATTCTCGATCAGCCAGTGTGTGTACAAGATGTTTTGTTGTTAATTCATTGGTAGAAGAGTAAATACGATCATCTATATATCAAAAAATGTTTTCCACTTTGACATTTAGGTCCACTAGGTCTCTAGCTGAAGCCTGACTAAAAAGTTTTGCCCTGTCATTAAAGTCCTTGGGGAGCATTGCCCATGATAAATTGTTGAGGCCCTTTTCTGCCTCCATTCCAATGCACATAGTAATTGCGAATCTTTATGATTTATTTTCTTTTTTTCACATTTCTTTCTACCATTAATGCTTTGCCACCATATTTTTCTTCTAAATTAGGATCTTTATTTATTAGAAGGAGCAGAAATCATCAGTGAGACTTAAACTTTAAGACCAATAATAATCTTGGGCTCTCCTCCCATAAGAGTTGGTTCCATCAGGTAAGAATGGAAAGAACAGCTTCATTTATTTCACTAGGGACTTGGACTACTCAAAATTTTCCATTTTTTCTTTTTTTAATGTTGAAAGGCATGAATATTCTTAAGTCTGGTTTTAACAGGGATACATTTTTTTGCCCTTCCTGATGTCTCTGTTATCCTAACCTCTGGATAGATTTCTTGAATAAGGCTATTTTTTTTTTATTTCTCTTAGGATGAGACTCTATAACATTCCTAAAGGCTAATGTGGAATGTTGAATGTCTGAGTGCTAATTGAACACCAAGTTTAGTGAGACTATATTCTTTCACATAATGGCAGTAAAAAACTGGCATAAATTTGGAAATTAATGCAAAAAATATATGACCTCCCAAGTTCTAAATGTGCTGTGGTTAGAGAAATTCAGCCAATTTACCTAATTCTCCCACATAAATATATGAGTTGGAACCGGCAGTTACCATAATGGCTATGTTGCTGGACTCCCACGTAGTTGACCACAGTTTGCATCCCAGACCCAGTGGCTTAAACTCACGCCGTGCATGTGCATATGTGCCCAAGACCCTGATAGGAGAATGGAGGAGAAGGAATTATGGTGTGCCACCCCTGGGGGGTGATTTCTTGCTTTCTGTCTCTCTCTCTCTCTCTCTCTCTCTCTGTCTGGCAAGCACACACACCCTATAGCAAAAACCTATAATGTATACATAGATATGTCAGGAAAGGGGGCTCTAAGATGAAGAGAAAGTACTAAATAGTTGGCTTCTATGTCATTAATAAAACTGTGGGTGCCACCTGCAGATTCCATGTTTGCCCGGGGCTCTGATCCCATGATGTTGATGGCTATCATGAGAGATGACTAGAGTAAAGTTATTCCTCAGTGTTGGGAAGGAGTGGATACCTCCTCAGCATTTGACCAAAGGTTCCTGTAACTTTTAGGGAAATCCCTGGGACAGTGGCAAGGTTGGTCACTTGCGGTGAGAGGTTTTATGGAGGCTTCATAGATAGCAGTCTTGTGTTCAGGCTACTGGCACTAATTATAGATTATCAGGAGTTTTCAAGAGTGGCCAGGAGCTGGTTTTTGTCCAATCAAAGCAGCAATTGAGTCTTCCTGGCATCCTGATTTTTTTTCTTTTGCCTTTGGCTTGTGGTACCAGGATAGGAACTCCAGGGGTCAGTCCTTTGTCTGAGTTTCTGGCCCAGGGAACAAAAGATGGGAGTCATAGTCTCTTGGGCTGAGGTCTTTAAAATTTGGTAATGAATAGAGAGAAATTTACAAATGAAAGAAAAGAGAAGGAGAGAGAAAGAAAAATAAAAAAGGGTACCTGACTGACAAAGAGAGTGGTCTCTAGATTGGGTGTCATGGGGTTGGAGCTATGGGTTCAGAGTTCTGTCAGAATTACTGAAACAGGGTTGAAAGATGAGTGTGGGGTGTCTGTAGGGCTGAGGACTTTCCTATTTGGTAATGAGAAAAATGAAATTTAAAAAATAATAAAAGAGGAGAAGGAGAGAGAGAAAAAAATGTACCTCGCTTACAGAGAGAGGGGTTTCTTGCTTTGGTGTCCCAGATATGGAGCTACAGGGGGCAATCTTCCGTCTGAGCTCCAGACCGAAGTGTCGAAAGAGGGGAGTGGGTTGTCTGTAGGGCTGAGGACTTTCCTATGTGGTAATGAAAAGTGAGAAATTTACAAATGAAAGAAGAGTAGAAGGAGATAGAAACAAAAAATTTTAAAAAATGTACCTGGCTGACAGAGAGAGGGGTCTCTAGCTTGGGTGTCCCAAGGCTGGAGCTACAAGGTACAGTCCTCCATCAGAGTTCCTGGCCAAGGGGTTGAAAGATAGGAGTGGGGTGTCTGTAGATCTGAGGGATTTTCTATGTGATAATAAGAAAAAAGAATTGAAAGAAGAGAAGTAGGAGACA